AGTAAGGACTCCGCACCTGGCGGGTTGTTTTCTCGCCAGTGCTCGAGGAAGTGGTGGAGCCGGCGCTCAAGAAGTCGTTCGTGCAGCTGGCTGAGGCAGGCCACAGCCCGCAGGAGCTCATCGACCAGGCCTGGGCGGAGGCCCAGGAGGACGGGCGCTTCGGTGGCTGCGGCCTCGGCGGGCACGCACAAACGACGGATGCGAGTATGCAGTCACCAATATTGTGTGCATTGCCACCTCTGTGAGAGCGGGGCAAAGCGGGATGCCTTCGATAGCTCGAAAGCGTTCGGGCTCCTTGCTGCCTCGGTGGATAGCTCGCAGGGGCTCGACCGCCATGCAGTGCGATACCTCCGCCGCTGCGCCGCCGGTGCCGACGCGCTCAGCTCAGCGTCGGGATTCCTTTGAAAGAAACGCGCGAAGTGATTGGGTGCTCCAACGCGTTTTACTTTGGGATCGGCTCGAACCCCGACGCGGATCGCTCCGATGACCCGGACCGAGCGGGATCGCTACAAGGAGTGGGAGGCTGCAGAGCAGGAGCGGCGACCGCTCAACCGAGGGACCCCCGACAACAAGGTGGAGGCCATGAGAGGCAAGTCTCTCGGGTGGACTGCACTCACGGCTCTCGCTCTCAAGCTGGCAGTTGTGGCAGTGCTCGCGGCTGGGCTCGTGCTCAAGCGAGTCTACTACGACGGGCGCCGCCAATGAGCCGCCGAGGCTTCTATTTGCAAGCATGCCAGTACGCTAACGCATCAACAATATTGTGTGCATTGCCACCTCTGTGAGAGCGGCAAAGCGGGATGCCTCCAATAACTCGAAAGCTCAAGAGCTAGATGCACTTCACGGGCAGCGGCTACGCGCTGTGTGTCGTGTATTCAATTCTGAGGTGAGACACCTTGCTAATTCGAGCTAGCCTGTCCGTCCCCACGTGCGAGCCCCACGCGGCCCGACACACTGGCCAGGCCACGCGACGCTGGTTTGTTTTGAGCAAGGCAGACACACACGTGACACATCGCTCTCGGGCCCAGACATCCCGCACACCCTCCAGTAGTACGAGCCCACCCCGGCCGGGAGGCGGACCAACGTTGACCGCTGCGCAACGCGGCGAGAGTCGCGCGCCCGACCCCCGACGGCGCGGGGGGGATGGTTTGAGAGAAGAGAGATGTGTGACGCAGCGATACATACGCGTCAGATCACGAAATCAACTTTTCCCGAACCCAGGTCCCAGCCAATGCTGTGGCGGGCTCGTAGCACGGCAGCGACGCCAGCGGCAGCGCGCGCCGGCCCCGCCGGGCCCGCGCCGCCGCAACCTCTCTCCTCCCCCGCTCCTGGTGCGGCGGCTAGCCGGGCGGCCCGCCGGCGCAGGAGCTCCGGGCCGCGCTGCCACCCCTGGTCCCTGGTGGCACCGGCGGCCGCGCCGAGGCCCGAGCGAAATCAGCCCGCGGCAGCCGACAGGAGAGAGAGGAGTGTATGTAGAGAGAAAGTGCGGACGATTGCTCGACCGCCACCCTGATCATGCTGAACAAGCTCCTTTTGTAGCTCGATCGGTCACACCGCCATCACCGCCGACGTCTCACACCTCACAGTGAGACGATGGAGAGGGGGGGGCGACACACTGCTTCAGCAGCGTGCACCTCGATCTCCTATACCTGTTTGTTATGACCCCCCCGACGTGAACACTGACCCACCAGTGGGCGAGTGGGGAGGGCGATTCGCTTTCCCCCTACGCTTTCCCCCTACGGCCGTACATACTTCCCCCCCCCCCCCCGAGGGGGCGAGGGGGGTGCGTCGAATTTTTCTTTTGAGAGCGCCTTCGTTGTTAATAGTACAAACCCAATGGTCCCTTGCGAGCGGTCCTTCGTCGCAGTCGCACACACGCACACGCCGCGCCGCACCGCGCGCCCGCCCACTGCCCCGCCCAGGCGGGAAAGAGATGAGGAGATGGGACAGCAAAGGAGGAGCACAAACACGTATGGGAGGGTTCAGTTGTGCGCCACGCTGCCCGGCGTCTCTCACTTTCTACGAATCAAGTTGGTGCCGGATCTGCAAATTTACGATCTGCGCGCCGCTTAGGTGCGTTCGCCTCCGCCATGAAGCATGCGTTCTCCGTCGGTGCAACTTGACCCACACGTCCGGGAGCGTCTGGATAGCAGACTGCCGGAGACAATCGCGCTGCGCGTCCTTCAACCAAAAACAGGGGGTCATCCATTGAGGCAAGCGCCTGCTTCTACCCCAATTAATGGCCAAATCGAGCCCGAGTGACGACGCGGCGGGCCCGTTGATCGGGCACGTGTCCCCCTATTAGGGGGAGGTTGCCCGTCCCGAGGTAGTCAACCAGCTTGTCGATGCATTCATTCAGCGGCACCGTAGGCGTAGCCCTGGCTGATGAAGCGGCCGTCGTAGCCATCCACATGGATGGGGGGATTTGGACTGAAAGTAACCTTCAATTGAGAATTTAACTGAAAACAACTCTCTCTCTCTCACAGCAGACAGGCTCGACACAGGTGCGGACTGGCGCGTGCTAGCACTATCACAGGAATTGAGAAAACGGCCAAACTTGCACGTCCCGCCGCTTGAAGTGGGCGTCAATGCCGGTTATGCTCTTGCTCAGCTCGGCGGCGACCACAGAGCGCCACGGCACGCATGTCAGAAAACATCCGGCTCTCTTGCTCGCACCCAGCTTCGCCCTGCGCTACAATAGCAGCACGCCATTCCTCGGGCTGCAGCGCAACAGCACCCGTCGCAGCGGCAGCCGGCTGCAGCGAGGAGATTTTGTTCAGTGGATCGGGCTGGTGATCGCCATCGTAGCGGCGCTCTTTGCGGAGGAGCTCGCCCTCGGCGGTCGGCCCGACATTCAGGTGAAGCTAGCCGTCGGCTGGCTGCTCGGCTTTGGAGCCTTTTGCGGGCTGGTGCTTGGCTGCATCGGCGCGAGGGAGGGGTGGGAGACGCCAACACGTTACGCGTCCATCATGCTGCTGAACATGCTGCTGTCGCCAGACAATCTCGTCGTCTTCATGATGTTCCTTAAGCACTCGAAGCTGCCGCTGCGCTGCCACCGGCGAGTCATCTCAGACGGCTTCATCTTTGCCGCACTGCTGAGGCTGGTCACGATGCTCGCCACAGGGAAGCTGATCGAGGCGTTCGCTCCGCTGCAAGTGGTCCTCGCAGCGGCGGTCTTCGCCAAGGGTCTTCAGATGACGGCGGGTATGTGCAGCCACCCGACCGAGAGCGAGGGCGAGCCGGAGGCGGAGGAGCCTGAACACCATTGGGCGGTGCGATCGCTGCAGCGCGTCCTGCCGGTCCGGTGGTCGGCCGACACCGACGACCTCTATCTCGCGCGCGACGAGGCTTCTGGGCGGCTGCACATCACGCGTACCAGCGCCCTCATGTTCGCCATCGGCTGCTCCGACCTCACCTTCTCCTCGGACAACATCACCGCCGTGCTCGCGCTGACTCGAGACCCGTTCACTCTCTCGGTGAGCAAGACCGAGACTTTTCCTCTACCCATGCTGTGCCAACGACCGGCGTGTCCGCAGGTGACAATGACCCTCTCAATCCTCCTCCTCCGACCAGTCTACTTTCTTGCCGCAGCCTTCATCGACCACCTCGACGCGCTCGACGCGGCGCTCGGAGTCATCCTCATCTTGATCGGCGGCAAGCTGCTCCTCGGGCAGGCGGGCGTGGAGGTACCCGTGTGGGCAGTGGTGAGTGCTGTGACGGCCTGGAGATTGCTTGTGATGTGTTACATCGCTTGCAGCAGTCGACGAGGCGCCACAGCCGCAGAGGGTGGAGAAGAGAAGCAGCAGAAGGGTGGGGCGGACGATGAAGGGGCCTGCGACTCGCCAGACACGTCTCCACGGCCGGCCATCAAGGGGGAGCTGAGGGCGGCCAAGGACGTCGAGAAGGACCATCTGCTCGCATGCTAGTGAGTCGGCTGAGCGGAGTTCGTTGCAGTCTCGGATCGAGCGACGAGCCGCGGATAGACAGCAGATCGACGCGTGAGTGAGCCGTCGAGCGGGTCACACGTGACACGTCTGCCATGTGTCTGTGAGCACTGTCACACCACACAGACCGTCGAGTCTCGAGAAACCCGTCGCCCGTCTCTCCTGACAACTCCTGACTCCTCAGGCACCTGATACAGGACTCCTGTGTCACAGCGCTCAGCGGGGCCGTGTGCGTCCGAAGCCCTGAGCGCCCTCGGCCCGGACACTGGTCACCGCTCTCACTGTCTGGGAGTGTGACTCGTGACTGTCTTCTCAGGCACAGAGGCTGAGAGCGGTCTTAGTTCTTACCGTCTTTCGGCCACACACCTAGGGCCTGACCGTACTGTACCATTTTGCCTCTAATATACATGCAACCACCCTCTCCACGACAGTCTGGCAAGAGGACTGTCGCTTTTGCACACGCACGCGTCTCTTTCACGCGTCTCTCACTCTCTCTCCACACATCGTACATGCAGCGACCAGTAGTCGTCAAATAGGGAGGGAGAGGGACTCACGTCAGACCAGGTGGGAGCCAGCGGCTCGGAAAGTGCTCCTCGGACTCGCAAGACCCGGTCTCGTCGTCGTCCTGCTGATCTTGCGTCAGCGGCCGAACCGTCGACGACGGCACTGATAGCGGCGGTGGGAAGCCGCTCGACGAGGAGCTGAGCGGCGGCAGCAGTGACTGCATCGGGACGGATGGAGGAAAGGCTGCGCCAACAACTGCGGGTGTCAAGCGCAGGCGGCCCGCGAGAGAGGTGGCCAGCTGCATGGCGGCGTCGTCTGTCAGGTGCGGCACCTCAGCGGCCGGGCGATCCCGGCCCTGGGGACATGCCGAGCAGTATATGCGTTTGAGCTTCATGATCTTGCGCGCGTCGGTTCTCGTCAACTCCGGATACTGCTGCCGCAGTCCCTTTATCGTGAGGGAGCACTCGCTGCAGCCAACACAAATCCGGTCGAGCACCAAGAGCAGCGGATGGATCCCGGGCGGATGCTGGTGGTGCGCAGAGCTAGGCCGCTCCGCCGGTGCGGCGAGGTGTGGCGAGTACCGCACACACGGAGCGCTCTGCCCGCAGTGAAGCGAGGGCGCAGGGGAAAGGTCGGCCATTTTGCGGATCGTGTGCAGGCTTCATGCACACACGGAACTCCGGGGTGCCGTCCGAGCACCCTGGGCACAGGTTCTCGAGGTTCTCGAGGTGGATATCCTTTGGCCGCGTTGGGTAGCGAGGATTGGTGTAACCCGAGCCACGGAGGCGTGTTTTCTGGCGGCCGACCGTCAGTGCACGGAGTTGCCACTTCTCCGACTGCCCCGGCTAGTTCCCGAGGTCCTGGGCACAGAGTTCGGAGCGTGAGGAGACAGAAGGAGCCCAATTGCGCAAACAGTGTCGACAGAAAACAGGTGAGCCTTTGAGGAGAGAGAGGGAGGTTTGGTCCCAGGGGCGTGTTTCTGACGGAGGCGGCTGCTCCGCCCCATACCGCGTTGGTGTCCAGTCCGAGCCTGAGATTAAGGGGAAGCCACTCATTGAGAAGGAGAAAGAACTCGATAGGCGACGGTGGCGTCCTCCGACACCTCTCCTGGGTCACTTGCAAGCAGTAATAGAATGTATGTATGTGTGTAGGAAGGTGAAGAACAGCCAGGCTCGGACTGGACACCAACGGGGATGGGTGGACGCATCCCACGAATAAAAGAAACACGTGTTTGGTCAGGACACAAGCAGCAGAAGCGTGCGAACCTTCATCAAGCCATGCCTGCTCTTCTTCGGCGTGCAGAGTCCACCACCTGTGTCCTCGCTCTCCGCAGCCCCAACAAACGCGGTTTTGGAGCGCTTGATGACATGCGAAAGCCGCCGACCCTTCGCCGGGTGGCGTCGCTCGACGCTTTCGAGCGCCACGTTATAATTCGCCTTTCCCGCACGCCTGAGGGCAGCCCCTCGCCGTACCCGCCGTCGGCCCCGTCGCTGCGCGCTCAAACGATGACGACCATGCCGCCGCCGATGAGCCTGCCGCCGCCGCTCGCGTGCCCTCTGCCAACCGCACCACGGCTCAGCCCGACGCTCAACACTCGGCTCCCTGCCTCCCTGGCACTACCTCCGCCGATGTTGCGCGACCGACAGCCGCTGGTGCCGCTCGCGGTGCTGTGATTGCCCGCTGTCGCCTCTTGTAGCTGCTGTGCACGGCGGGCGCTTGCCTGCCGGGCTGATCGATTGCCATCACACTCTCCGGTCTCGAGAGTCGCCACCTGCTAGGTGCGGGCGCCGCGCTTTTGGGCCGTGTATCCTCACGATGTACATGTGGCATGTGTTGCTCTCGTCTTGCGAGCGCGTCTGTGTGCTGCTGATATGTATCCATGCTTCAGATCTCGAATAGTCGAAAATCACACCGACCGCGGCCGCGCCGCGCCGGCCGGCCGGGCCGCCGCGCGGTGTGCTTCTCTCTGCGCCGGCACGACGAAGCGGACGATCGACGGATGAGGAATGTCCGGCACGCTGGAGTGTGGAGAACGAAGGGGGCCGCTTTCTCTCCCTGCAGGCGGCTCTAGTCGGGAGGGAGGGGCAGGCGACCGCGCCCGGACTGTATAAGGTAAGGTAAGGTAAACGTCTCCACACACACAAAGTGGTGGGGCAAGGGGGGGCGACCCTCGCATCTCCACGCCCGGGACACGGGCAGGAGCCCCACGGCATTCAAAGTGCAAGCACCGGCCCGGTGCCGTGGGTGAGCAACCTGCACCCCACTCCTACTCCTATAACACAACCCCCACAGCGTGGTCGTCTACGTGTTCAGAAACACCAAGCAGCGAGGCGAGGGTGAAGGGTAAGGGGCTGTGTGGGGCTATCTGTGACCATCTAGCCTGGGGGGTAGCAGGAGGGGGGGGCAGAGGGTAAGATATGGGTGAGGCCAGCTACAAGTCGGACGCCCTCCCGTCGTCGGAATAATCCTCGGAGCGGTCAGCGTCCTCGTCGTCGTCCTCGGTCTGCATCGCGTCGCCAGCCGTGAACCTGAACACGGCGTCGGCCGGCGCCGAGGCGCCGGCGGCCGTCATCAGGTGCATGACTATGCGGTCGCGGTATGCCGCATCGATCTCTCCGTGCTCGGCCAGCTCGTTCGCGAGCCAGTCCGAGGCGACGGTCGTCGCCACGGTCCCCTGGGGAACTGTGGCGTACACCTTGCTGGGGCCGCGTCGATACCCGTCGTCCCTCTCCGGGGGCAGCGAGTATTCGACCCCCATTTTGGACCCGGCCTGGCTGCGCGCCTGCGCAGCTGCAGACCGCAGCCCGGCCATCACGTACTGGATGTTCTCGCGCAGCTGCGCCCGCGGGGCCTCCGCGCGCTCGGCCTCGCTCGCGGCGCGCTCGCCAGCCTCCGTCGCCCGGCGCGCCTTCTGCCGGTCCTTCTTGGCCTTGCGTGCCGCGGCTCGAGCCGCGAGCTGCTCCTTGGTGGGCTCCTTCTTCTTCGGCGCGGTGCGCTCGATGTACGAGCGCTCCGCCGCCTGCACCGACTCGCGGTCGCCCGCGGCCTTCTCGTGCTTCAGGTCGACCTCGATGGTCGCGTAGCCAGGCCTTATCACCCTGACACAAGACGCACCGAACAGCCTTGCGACACTCACCGCGTCCTCCAGTTGCGCGCGATCGGAGCTATTCCAGCGTCCGCTGCGCATCCCCGGCGGCACGACGGTGGCCGGCGCTTGCGCGCCAGCCCCGTCCGCCGCCGGGTCCGCGGCCGCGGTCCCTGTCATAGCTACGCGCGCCATGGAGAACGGCGGGCACTTGCGTGTGATGGACTGTATACATTTCATCACAGCACACAGGAATTTCACAAGAGACCTATGAGCTATGTCCCACCCCGCTGCTCCCCCGCCCCCCCCCCCCCCCCCGTCCCGCCCTGCTGCCCGTCGAGTAACCCCCATTGCCGTAGCACCTCAAACACGACGACGGTCGCGGCGCTGGCCACATTGAGCGAGTTCTTCACCCCAAAGGTCGGGATCTCGACGATGCCGTCCACGGCGGCCAGCACGTCCGTGTCGACGCCGATCTGCTCGTTGCCAAGCACAAGGGCGACGCCGCCGGGCGGAAAGGCGACCGTGCTGTAGGCCTGCGATCGCTCCGTCGTCTCCATCGCGTACACGGCGACTCCGCCGGCCTAGTACCATACCCTCCAGAGTCTCGAATCCGGTATGGGCACCGTCCCGTGGCTGTAGGGTGAGGACGCGGCGACTCCGCCGGCCTGCAGCGCGCGGACGGCCTAAAAGGAGATCGACGACGGCGCTGAGGTGGCTCGTCCTGCAAACGGGAGCGTAACGGGTGGGTCCTGCAGAGGGAGTGGTGAGGTGAGGTCAGGTGAGGCCAGGTACACTTCTCCACACACACACGAGGTGGTGGGGCAAGGGCCAGGCGGCCCTCGCGACTCCACGTCCAGACGTCAGGAGCCGCACGGCATTCAAAGTGCAAGGCCCGGTGCGCGTGGGCGAGCGGTGTGTGTGTGTGTGTGTGTGTGTGTGTGTGTGTGTGTGTGTGTGTGTGTGTGTGTGTGTGTGTGTGTGTGTGTGTGTGTGTGTGTGTGTGTGTGTGTGTGTGTGAGTGATGAACAGACGAGAAGGGCCGGTGCGCTGTGAGCAGAGAGAGTGAGTGCGCTGGGGTATGAGAGAATGAGAAAGTGCTTTGGGAGCAGGCCTGAAGCGTCGACTGTGCGTGGCGCGTCGGCACCGACTCGATCGCACCAAAGGCCTAAGATACGGCCAGGTCAGGTAGACTTCTCCACCATCCCTACCCCCACGGTCACCGAACCCACACCGAACAGCGGTGGAAGAAAAGACGGCAACAGCAGATGCGTGCATGCTCGCCCCGCGGCGTGGAGTGTGCTGACCTCCCTCGCCCTGAGTGTGCTGCGGTGTGCGTGCCCCAATCCGAGTGTGCTGCGGTGTGCGTGCCCCAATCCGACGCACATCGCGGCTCCTCCGCATCTAGCCTGGCCCCCGTGGTGGGTTCGGGTACCGTGGGGTAGGGGAGGGTGGGTTCGGGTACCGTGGGGGAGGGGAGGGTGGGTTCGGTTACCGTGGGGTAGGGGAGGGTGGGTTCGGGTGCCGTGGGGTAGGGGAGGGTGGGTTCGGTTACCGTGGGGTAGGGGAGGGTGGGTTCGGGTACCGTGGGGTAGGGGAGGGTGGGTTCGGGTGCCGTGGGGTAGGGGAGGGCAGTCCCTCCCACCCCCTGGCGAGCAGAGGCACACGCACGCTCTCTCGAGGTCTCTGGGAGCAGAGCCCGGCGAGTCCTCGAGAGAGCAAAGGGGTCCTCGGAGAGGGTACCCTGGGTGGGCGGTGCCTCTGCCTGGCCTCTACTCTCCAGTCTACTCTCCAGGCACATCTAGCCACACGGGCCGTCTTCGCGAGCTTCGGATTGGGCGGGTGCGGCGTGAAGCCGCAGGTGATCACCTCGGCGCAACGCGCCTACCGGGGAGGGATTGCGGAAAGGAGATTGCGGGAGATCCCGCCGGAGATTGCGGGAGATCCCGCCTGAGATTGCGGGAGATCCCGCCGGAGATTGCGGGAGATCCCGCCGGCGGGCCCAAGCTCTGTCTGCAGCAGCACCGGCCGGGCGCAGATGCGGAACGCCTCTCCCCGTCTCTAAACGCGCGCCGTGTCGGCCGTCCGGAAAATTGAGCCGACGTTGTACGCCGACCGGACATTGTCAAGTACCAAGTGGACGCGATGCGCCGGCAAACGCACGCGGCCTGCGTCGATCGCCTAATCTCGGGCAATCTCGGGTCATCTCGGGCAATCTCGGGTAATCAGCGCGGCGCGCGTCGACCGCCGCGTCGTTGTTGCGCAAGTACGCGGCGGCCGCCGCGGCCTAGTACCACACCCTCCGGAGTGTCGAATCCGGTGTGGGTTCGGTCCCGTGGCTGTAGGGTGAGCGAGTGTGGGCGGCCGCCTGCTCGCGGAAGAGGTGGAGTATGTGGTGGGCGGCGCGCCTACGTACTCATGGGGAGATATGGGGAGAGATGGGGAGGTATGTGGTGGGTGGCGCGCCTACGTCCACAGAGAAAGAGCTCCGCTCAAGGCAGGTGCGCCTCTGCTAGTGCCTGAGCTGCTCACGCCACTACACTTGCGGGTCCCCG